ACCAAAGGCAGAAGGTTATTATAACGTTACCATAACGTTTGTTTAACCAAAAAACATTAAGAAAACGTTATGGTTAAGTTATAAAACGTTCAGTGTTTGCTGGGTGAGGCGAGGTGTGTAGATATTGATTCTAAATCATTATCATTGAACCGCGAATTTTTGAAAATTTTGATTTTTAATTTTCAAAGTTTTCCTTTCGCAATAAGTGATGCTAGTTTAGGATTATTTTTCGCCGTGAGCCAGTACTAGAAAAGCATAAACCATGTGAATTCTGTCAACATTTTTGTAGAGAAGTACAGGTGCAGTTTTATAACATTTTCCTGTTCCTGTAATATCCTATTACCGTTTCCTTAACTAGATTCTGGCAGACTGAAATTACCGTTGACGACATCGAGAAGAGCGAGGAAATATCCGTGATCCACGAGACCCCCAAGCAGTCCCTCAAACCCGTGGACGTCCTGGACGCCGATCTCAGCCTTAGCACCGAAGAGAGAAAAGCCGAGACTCAACAGTATGTAGAATCGGAGCAGGAGGAGCAGCGGAAGTTCATCATCAAGGGGGTCACGGACCCAGTTTCCGGTAACGTGATCAGTATGCAGCAGGCGATTGGCATGGGCGTCATCAACCAGGAGACCGGATGTTACGTCAATAAAGTTACAGGCGATTCCATGCCCATCCCTCAAGCCATGAACGAAGGGTTGATTCAGGTGGAGTTTGCTACAGCGAAGAGGAGTAAAGAGAAGAAGAAATCCATAGGAGTTATCACCATAAAAACCGAGAGACAAAACAAACCTTACTCCATCGTCGGTGCGGTCAATCCTAAAACGGGAGCCGAAATTAGCGTTGCTGTCGCCTTGGAACAGGGGTTACTCAACGAGTCACGGGGAGTGTACGTCCACCCGGTGACCAGGCAAGAAATGACCTTATCAGACGCTATAGACGCTGGGCTACTCTTGGTGAAGTTTGACGAAAACGTCGAAGCTGATGTGACCACAAAAACCTATGCTATCCACGCTGTCGTGGACCAGCGGCGGAAGGCACGTGTCTCATTCCAAGAGGCAGTTGACCATGGTCTCCTGGACCGGGACACGGGGTCCTATGTTAACAATGTCACTGGGGAGAAGATCTACGTGGCTGACGCCATAATGAGGGGGTTCGTTAAAGCCCATGAGGTGGACGACCCCAGTAAACTGGACATAGACGCTGAGAATAAGATCGTCGTGGAAAAAATGGAAAATATGAAGAAGAAGTTGTTAAAGCCAATGAAGGCTCTCAACGCGTTCAGATCTGCGGTTAAGGCTAGTAAGGTCCCCAATGGAAGTGTAAGCGCCAAAAAGTAAACATTGGGGATTAATTCTTACTGTTAAAGATGCCAACAGACCGGGATTAATAGTAAAAGGCGACTACGAATGCGACAATATTCGGTGACAGGAAATGATGCAGCGTTCCTTTTCGCAGTGTGCCATACGAGACATTACTAAAAACATCGGCGGAATCCTTGAAATATATTTAATGCCAAATGAAAGTAATAAAAACACTGTTTGAATGGAATTCCGTCGACGACTAACATAGAAACTAACATAATACTGTTATTGCCATCCAGGGCTTAACATAACAAAATAATAAAAAAATGAAGTATTATTTAAAATATTAGCCATCAGATTTTTATAAATCTTTTTTTGAAATTTATATGAATATGTGTATACGTGTATTTTAACGGGATAAATTATTTAATTAACGCGGGATAAAATAGGTAACGTGTGCTTTAAAGTTCATGATGCTGCTTTACGATACAAAGATAAGATATTGAAGAATTTTCATTGACTGTTCCATGTGTAACAACATACGGCTTGTATATAGAGCGTGAACTTTCTGTGTCTGTACATTTGCATTTCTATATATGGTTTATTAAAATGTTTTGGAAAATGATAAACGCTTCTTCGGACCAATAGAACAGTAAGTGAATCTAGAAGTACCTTTTCAAATATTAGATACAAGAATGTTAACAGTTAAGTTATAGGCACACGTCATGTTTTATTTATTGAAGGAAATTGCTTTGTAAAGGACTTTATACACGTCGTTCGAATCAGCTTTACCTCTTAAAATGTTGTTTTTATTAGTAGAAACAATTTGTAACATGTTTTTATAGTTACACTGGAAGCAAGTGCTCTCACTTTATTTCGTTATTCGTCGTTGCACTTTGTGTATTTTAATATATTTGCACTTTGTGAAAATCATTTTTGATTTGTTACTTATCTAAAATCTGTTCCTTATCGGCCAATAAATGGTTTTGGGATATATGTCTTTTACCGTTGTTGCACTCGATGTTGCTGAGGAGGACCCGCACTATGCATTACCATACATACCATAATATACAATAAAATACATTGCCATGTACCTCAGTGGCGGATACATGTACGTAATACTATACTTGCAATGTCTTTATACATGTATCCATACCATCTTGCTCTTTATTGTCAAAGGGGAAATTGCCAAAATTTCGAAGACTATAATTATTATTATTTTTTTTAATGGTGTAACGCGCATGGTGTAACTTTAACAAAATCGACGTTCTACTGGTATACTAATACATAAATATAGGATAAAAGATTTTGAAGCATGTCAGCATTTGCATGATAAAACGACCCAGCAATCACAGAACGATATTAATATGTTAAGATGACGTTCAGGTAACGTTATGACGTTCTGGTAACGTTTTGGTAACGCCTTAATAATATTCTGGGTTTGCTGGGGAAGGTCTGTAAATCTCAAAGTTTTATAAAACAAACTATCAAGACAAGCAGAGAATGGTGTTACTGCTACGCCGTATGGCATCTATCATTGTATAAACACATATATATATGTTCTATATCTTATTGAAAGTTGTATATTTTATTGAAAGCAGCTAGCTAGTGCCCGTATGACATGAGGAAACTCTGTGAGTGACAACTAGTCCAAATGTCCCTTTGGTGTTGTGAGGACTGCTGCATGAAAGTTACATGCATCTTGCAAATGTCGGGAATATAGAATATATAGAAAGCGTCATGGGGATAAGACTTCACTGGGAACTGACGTCTATTATTCGAGTGCCAGATTTATTGGTCCTTGGAGGGGGGGGGGGGTCGGGGGGTACAGTCGGGGGGTACAGTCGGAGGGTACAGTCGAGACACCCTGACTGAGTTTTCAAGATATACTGTGCGTTTTTATAATGCGAGCCCCCTCCCCTCGATAAAAGTCGGGTCTCTTATTTTCTCAAATTTTCCTTATGGTTTGTTACTAATCCACGCGATAGAAAATGTCTACTTTCAGTATGCTATCTCTCTCTCTCTCTCTCTCTCTCTCTCTCTCTCTCTCTCTCTGTGTGTGTGTGTGTGTGTGTGTCCCTTCTGCCATCGCTCCACAATCACATTTGCGAACCTGATTTCATCAAAGAGGGAACAGGGATAGCTTTGGGTGGAGGGTGGCGG